GTTTGTGTAGACTCTTCCCCATAATTTCTATTTTAGTCTGTTCTTTAACTATTTCCTATAAAACTTTTCATACTTCTTCCTTGAGTAGAAGTTAAATAGCTTTTCCTTTGTTATATCCTGAAGGTACTTATAGCGCTTGTATGCAAGAGTTTTCAGGTATTTTATTTTTGTTTTCTTTTTCTCTTAGACTGAATTCCTAGAGGTACTCTTTATCCCCAGAGCACAGTATAGTATATATGTTTTGTTAGATAGAGAAATATGTACGTTTGGGCTGGAGAGATGGCTCAGAGTTTAAGAGCACTGGCTGCTTTTGCAGAGGACCCAGGTTCAGTTCTCAGTACCCACATGGTGGGCAACAACTGTCTGTAACTCCAGTTCCAGGAGATCCAACACCTTCTTCTAGCCTCCTAGGGCACTGCATAACACCAGTGCACCTACATGTAAGCAATACACTCAGACACATAATAAAAAAATATTGTTCTCAAAAAGAAATATGCATATTTGAACTGATGGTTTGAGTGGTATCTTCTGACTTTCTCCCTTCATCATTAAATCTGTCTCTGGGCTCCCATGCAAAGCACCATGTGATTTTTAAGTATGTTGACCTAAGTGTCCTATCTTTTTCACAGTTTAGTATCTGTGTCCAGCACTGTTACAAATATATTAGCCACTAAAGAAACAAATAAGGAATCATTAAGATAGTGAACCAATTCTGCAACTTCGTACTTTCCGGAATTGTGAAGCATTTTGTTCTAGAAACCCTCTGAGAACTAGGACTGTCACTACGGATCAGTCTGTTCCAAGAGGGCTACAGATCCTGACTCTCAAATTGACACAGCCTCAGAAAAGGAAAGTAATTATGCCCATCTCTTTTCTTCAGAAAGAACCTACCAATCAAACTTGTCAGTACCTCACCTGAAGAAAAAAATCTAAAAATAAGTCCATGCAGTAGTCGTTTCATTTATGTGACATAACACTGGGTGGCTAGTTTTACAATGCTTTTATCTGATTTTTCTTTATTGAACATATATTTTAAATTCTATTTAAATGCAAATTTTTTTAAATGAGGACCAAACTCTTTCAGTCTAGGATATTTATTAGGATCATTGAAACTTGTTTGGAGGCTAGTGAGATGGTTCAGCTGGTAAAGGTACTTACTCTCAAGAGTATCTGAGTTCAATCCCTGGGACCCACCTTGTGGAGGGAGAGAACCAACTTCTTAAAGTTGTCCTCTTACTTCATGCTTGTACCATGGCATGCATATATGTCCTTGTACACACACACACAAATAGACAAATGTAATTTTAAAAAATTGTTTTCCAGCCAGTGAGATGGCTCATCAGGTCAGGTTCTTGTTACCAAGCTGGATGACCTGAGTTCAGTTCCCATAGTGAAAGAGAAAACCAATTTCCTCTGACCTCCACACACACAGAAAATGGAAAAAGTGTAATAAGAAAAAGCTTGTTTTGTTTTTTTTTCTTTTGATGGCCATTCAGTTTAAGAATTCTTCTTGGTAGAGTTGTAATTAGTTCTGATTTTTTAGATTGAAGAGTAACTACAGAGCTAGGCATGGTAGTGCACACCTTTTATCACTGAAGGGGCTGGCAGAACTCTGTGAGTTCGAGGCCAGCCTGGTCTATATAGCCAGTTTCAGGCCAGCTGGGGCTACAGGGAGACCCTGTCTTCAAAAACAAATAAACAAAAAAGTATCTAAAATGTGTGACTACAATAGAAAATGAGGAAATTGGAACCTAAACTGTTTCACCTTTTTCAACAAAATTTATTCTTAGGATGATCAAAAGGCAGAAAATGATATGGCAATGAAACGAGCAGCTTTGCTAGAGAAACGATTACGAAGGGAGAAAGAAACCCAGCTTCGGAAGCAGCAGCTAGAAGCCGAAATGGAGCATAAGAAAGAGGAGACAAGGTAATTTAATGTACCATCACTGGGAAACACACAGGGCCTAAACTTTGAATTTCCTCAAGTATATTTTAAATCAGGTATCTAATCCCCCAGGGTTCTGAAATATGAAAGTTCTCCTTTTCTCCCATCAAACATGTAAATCTCTACAGTGTCACTTGTCTTCGGTGTGCAGAATGATAAATTCAGCCATTTAATTTCTTAGGCGTAAAACTGAGGAAGAACGTCAGAAGAAAGAAGATGAGAGAGCACGCAGAGAGTTTATCAGGCAAGAATATATGAGGCGAAAACAGCTAAAGCTAATGGAAGACATGGATACTGTGATTAAACCTCGTCCTCAGGTGGCAAAACAGAAAAAACAGCGGCCAAAATCTATTCACAGAGATCATATAGAATCCCCCAAAACACCAATAAAAGGTCCTCCAGGTAACACCAGTTACTATGAAGAGTCTGTTCATAAAACACCAGTGTGGTCTGTTGTACTAACTTGATAATGCCATGATAATACTAAATTGGATACACAATTTGAAGTGATGCATGCTCTTACTTGGAAAACCAAAATGAGCAAAGGAAATTTTTAATGAATTTATGTGCATTATGTCTGCATGCATATAATTCAATAGAACAAATATGAATGCCCAAAACAATTTAAATACTAATTTATTAGTGAACTCTGTCTTTGGGTGTGGTCTCCCTGAATTATCAGTTACCTTTTTACCCCCCTTAAGTCAAGGTCTCATATCACTCAGGTTAAGGTTAGCCTTAGACTTGCTATATAGCCGTGGATGAGCTTGAACTTCTGATCCTCTTACTTCTGCTTCCTAAGTGCTGGGATCACAGACATGTACCAGCACATCCCCTTCTTTTGTAATGTAGTGCCAGGGATTGAATCCAGGGCTTTGTTCATGCTAAGCAAGCATTCCACCAGCTAAGTTACATTCCCCTACTCATAACTACCTTTTAAAAACTTGTAAATTTAGGATAAATGTTATGCATGAAATGTGTAAGAAGCATGTCTGTACTTTTTTGTTTTTAAAGGCTCTACCATTTAGCTTCATCCCCAGCCAATATATCCATACAATAAAGAATCAAGATTTTAAAATTTTCTCTTTAAGATGAAAGTAGTCAGGGCTAGAGAGATGGCTTAGTGATTAAAAGCACTGGCTGCTCTCACAGAGGATGAGTTTGGTTCCCAGAATCTGCATGGCAGCCAATAAATGTCCTTAAACTCCAGTTCCAGGGAATCTCATGCCCTCTTCTGGTCTCCACATGCATTGCATGACACTGGAGCACTTACATATGTGCAGGCAAAGCAAACACTCAAACACATAAAATAAAATTTTTTAAAAGATTTTATGTGTATGCATGTATTGCCTGCATGTAGGTAAGTGCACCTGTGTCGTGCAATGCCTGTGGAGGCCAGAAGAGGCTGTTGGATCCCCTGGAACTGGAGTTATGGACAGTTGTTAGCTGCCATGTGGGTGCTAGGATTCAAACCTGGGTCTTCTGTAAGAATAACTAGTATTCTTAACCACTGAACCATCTCTCCAGCCTGTAATTTTTTTTTTTTATTTTTCCATGCTTCCCTTTTTTTTTTTTTTTTTTTTTTTCTTGAGACACTGTCTCCCTATAGCCCCAACTTGTCTAGAACTTGCTCCGTATATCAGGCTGGCCTCCATCTCACAGAGGTTCACCTGTCTCTGCCTCCTGAGTACTGGGATAAAGGCATGCACCACCACGCCCAGCATCAGCATGCATACTTTTAAAACTATTTTAAAGTAAGTGCTATAGAAATTTTTGAGAATTTTATAGAGTTGAGGTTATAACTTGGTGGTAGATCTTCTACCTAGCCTACATGAGACTTTGAATTCTGTCTCCATCACCACGAAACAAAACAAGAATTCCTGGGGCCTGGAGAGATGGCTCAGCAGTTAAGAACACAGGCTGCTCTTGCAGAGGACTCAGGTTCAATTCCCAGCACCCACATAGCAGCTAACAACCATCTGAAACTACAGTTCAGGGGATCCAACACCCTCTCCTGACCTCCGTGGGCATTGCACAACATGGGTGCACTTACATACATGCAGTAGTTACATGCAAAACACTCATACACATAAAATAAAGATATTTTTTAAATAGAATTCCTATAGTTACTCTAAATTTGAGGGAATATAATGGAAAACTAACCATTTAGTCAATGAAGCGTTGCTTACTTGCTTTTCAGCACAGGCTGGTCTCCACCTAGCAATTCTGCCTCAGTCTTCTGCTGAATGTTGAGGTTACAGCCACCACACCTAGTTTTGTGCAACTCTTTATAATATGGACTGAAACTTGCAGATTAATTTTTCAGTCACAGGAATCAAGTATTACTACAGTATTTTTCTTTTGGAAAAAACCTGGTCATAGTATCAGGTCTCATAGTACCACTTTGCTTTGGAACAGCAAGTTTGTTCTATTGTTTCCAAAAGTAGAGTTTTAGTTATTTATGTACTTAGATTCTGAATAAAGAGAAAAGGAAAAGAAACTACAGAAACAACGTATCATGTGCTGGTGTTATCTAATGAACAGACTCTTTTCTAGTTTCTCCTTTTAAATTTCTAATTTTGTTTCTGTTCAGGATCACGAATTTATCGTGTTTTTTCAGTCTCTAGCCTTTCTTTGGCATCGCTGAACACAGGTGATAACGAGAGTGTTCATTCAGGCAAGAGGACACCAAGGTAAACCCAGAGCTTTTGAGTATTTTTCACAGATAAAAATATGGTGCCTGCAATTATATAAAATTTTAAATAAAAATAATTTAGGGTTTTTGTTTTGTATTTTATAATGAATGAAATATAATCAAAAATTTTTGTAAGTTTTGATGATTTAAGACCTTCTGTTAAAAAGTACATGAAATGGAGCCAGTGAGGTGGCTCAAGGGTAAAGACACTTAATGCCAAGCTTGACGATCTGAGTTTGATCCCCAGGACCCACATGATGGAAGGAGACAACTGACTCACAAATTGCCCTTACCTTTATGCATGATGTAGCACATGCATACCCATATACATACACACACGCAATAAAGAAATAATAAAACTATTTTAGTTGTAGAGAGATAGCTTAGCAGTTAAGAGTACTGGCTGCTCTTGCAAAGGACCCACAATTCCTAGCACTCACATAGCTCACAACTATCCTTAACTCCAGTTCCATGGGATCTGATGCCCTCTTTGGCTCTGAAGACATTGTACATATGTGTTGTACACGTATGAATGTAGGCAAAACACTCATACACATAAATAAGAATAAATCTTAAATTTTTTATTTTGAATGATATATTCACTTTGTTTATATCTCTTAGAATTTGAATTGTTAACAGACTTTTTATAAGCTATAAATACCAGTGGTAATTATATGTAGCTAGTTGCTAATATGGTTATAATTAAGTAATAGAAAGAGACACTGCATTATCTAGTGTCAGCTTCTTTATCTTCCCATTGGAAACAGCTTTTTTTCCTTTTTGACATTAGAAAAATTTGAAAGTAGCTTGTCTCCTTGAATGTAACATTCGCATTGAGCACACTGATGAAAGATCTCTTTTGTACTCTTTCTCTAGCATACAGATTAGATAGAAACTAAAAGTATCGCTGTGAATTACAGCAGCCACATCAAAACAGAATGCTTCTTGGGTCTCATTGTCTTAGACTTCTCATCCTTGTCCTACTGTTCTGCTCTGCTAACTGCCAATTTTTATATGGAAAAGCCTTCATTCCAGCAGATGTTTATAATGTAGCTGCCATATTTTAGGAACTTATATATGGCCATAAATAAGACAGACATTAGCACCATCTTATTTTTTAAAGCTCTAGATTGTTTTGGTTGATATTGTCATCTCTGGGCCCCAAGCATTCTTTCGCTGAGATATTAAAAAAAAAAAAAAAAAAAAGTTGTTCACTATTCAGGTCAGAGTCCGTGGAGGGTTTCTTATCTCCAAGTCGTTGTGGAAGTCGAAATGGAGAGAAAGACTGGGAAAATGCATCAACAACTTCTTCAGTGGCTTCTGGAACAGAATACACAGGTACTAACCTGTAACTAAACAGTTTCAGGGGAATGTTTTAGTTTAACATACTGATGAGAACACATAGGCTGTAGTAAAGAAATCTTTATTGATCTTTTGATCCAAATATAGAAGTCTCTGTTAAACCTAAACAGTAAGTATAAACGGTCTCTTTCAGGTGAGCCCCTTTCAGTGATGTAGCTCCACTCGAGGTAGTGATTTATCCCAGGTGAATAAAAATAGGTTCTAAAAATTAAAGATGTCACTTAGATCTCATCCTTCTATGTCTGTCTTAATAGTTCTGGCTATTTCTCTGAGGTTATTTGGGTCCAAAAAAGCTTTAGGGGAGTTTTATCAACACATGGAGCCTCATTACTATGTTAATTCTATCCAGTAAGTCCTCTCCCCTAGCATTGGAGCTTTAGGTTATAACCAAACTAATAATGAGACCTTGTCTCAAAATAAAAAATAAAGGTTAGGCTGGGTATGATGGCTCATGCCTTTAATTCCAGAATTCCAGAGACAGAAAAAGGGGATCTCTGTGAATTTGAGGTCAACCTGGTCTACATAGTTCTGGGCCACCCAGGGCTACATAGTGAGGCCCTGTCTTAATTAATTAATTAACTAATTAATTAATTAATTTTAAAAAGGGAGCCAGAGAGGCGACTCACTGTTCAGACCAGTGGCTGCTCTTGCAGAGGACCTGGGTTCAGTTCCTAGCACCCACATGGCAGCTAACAACAGTCTATAACCCCAGTTCCAAGTGATCTGACTCCCTCTTCTGGCCTCCATGGGCATTGCATATATATAATGCACTTCCATACATGCAGGCAAAATACTCATAAAAGAAATACATAAAATTCTTTGAATGAATGAATGAATGAATGCTGGGGCTGTAGGTCACTGGCAAGTCATTTGCCTAATACATGAGGGCATGAGTTCCTCCAGGTCCTCTTCCAGCCTTTGTGTGAGTGAACGTGATTGAACAAAAGCAAATCGAAGCATAGGAAGAAAATGAGGGTGCTTCTAAAGACACGAAGCAGTAGAAAAAAATGAGGAAAAGGTGACCATATTGAGAAATAAAATGGGACAACAAAGAAGAAAGTGTGTGGGGAAGAGCAGGGAAAGGAGATGGTCCCCATGCACCTGTGATCCTGCAGAATTGGAAGCCTTACAAAGTCTCGAAGAAGGTAGAACTGGCTAGAGATGTGCTGTGTACTAGTACTCTCTGACTTCTTTTCTCTTTATTCTGTATCAGGCTCCCATGGTAAGTCTGATAACCTTTAGTGTGGGATTGGACAGTATTTCCCTATTAGACCCTCTACCTCTCTGTTTTTCAGTTGAACAGTCTAAGCAATATGAAAAAGATGCTTTTTCTTTTTTGTGTGGGTATGTATGCAAGCCAGAGGACAACCTTAGGTATTATTCCTCGGGGACTGTCAACTTTAACAAAACAAAACAGGGTTTCTCACTGACCTAGAACTTGTCAAGTAGATATGCAGTATGCTTTAGGGATTTGCCTGTCTTCACCTGCCCAGCAGTGGGATTACAAGTGCATACCACCATGCCTAGGTGGTGGTTGTTTTGTTTTACGTGGATTCTGATGTAAAGCAAGCACTTAACCAACTCTCACAGCCTACTTTTTCTTACCTGCTTAAAAGCTAAAGCAAGGTATGTTAGCTCATACCTATAATCCCAGCACTTGAGAGGATGAGGCAGGCGAATTGCCATGAGTTTGAGGTCAGCCTGGACTACACAGTGAGTTTCAGGTCAGCCAGAGATGGAGAGCAGACAGTGTCTCAAGAAAATAAAAGTTTAACCCACAGTTAGCCAATGTGCAAAGAACAAGAACTGCAGAGTACTTATCCCCGAATAGGACACCTATTTCAAACCTCTGCCTCCCAAGGCTCAAGGATCAGTGTGGAAAGAGGGGGCAGAAAGATTGTAAGAGCTAGAGAGTGTGGGTGACCACAAAGAAATAGTCTTCCAAACAGCTGGTCAGTTACTTATGGTCTGACAGCAATGGTGACAGCATGCCCAAGTCCTATGCAAAGTCAGACCAGACAAAAATCCCAGCATAGGCATAGGGGAGTAGGTAAAAAATCCCTACCCAATATAAGAAACTTGGCAATTGATGGCTGGTGGGAGTGGGAAATACAGTGTCTTACAGGGTTGAGGCTTTTGGTGGGCCCAGTGAATGGATCCACACTAAAAGACATGGGGGACACAAATCAAACTCTATAGGCCATATTATATATGTAAGAGAGTTCATTAAATTGGGCAGGGGACAGTGGGGGTGGTGCAGAGAAGTGGGAAGCTCTAAATGTCATCAAACTATATTAGTATGATTGCAAATTTTCAATTAAAAATGTAAAAGAAAAAGTTTAAGTTGCTCTTAGGTGTTTTCTACTTTGAGCTCACCAGTAAATAATCTAAGCAGACTTGAAAGGTTAAGTAGATTTTGTGACAGCTACAGCAGGACCTTATTTCCAGCACTGCTCTGACAAGGCAGCTTCGAAAACCCATCCTCCATATGTATCCCTGTGTGAATACAATTGTGTTGCGATTGCACTGGGCCCATAAGAAGCCTTCAAGTACTGAACTCGGTTTTCTGTTACAGTTTTAATCAATGTGGAAGAATTACATCATTTAAAACAGTTTTTCTGTCTTAGGAACCTTCTATTACCATTTTAAAATGCTTATTACAGGACCAAAGCTCTACAAAGAACCTAGTGCAAAGTCCAATAAGCACATAATTCAGAATGCTCTAGCTCACTGCTGTTTGGCTGGAAAAGTAAATGAAGGTCAAAAGAAAAAAATACTAGAGGTAAGCATGTTTTTGTGAAAATTAAACATTTCAAAATTATAGGAGTCTTCTATCAGTGTAAGAAAAAGTATTCCCACGGACCGCCTAAAATTTTGGTAGCATATAAAAGGTCTGAAATTAGATGTTTTAGTTATTAGTTATCCACTCTCTAGTTGACTTCTATAAGACTTACAGATTTATTTAAAGTCTTAAGAATAGACTTTATAGTTAGGGGTATAGCTCAGTGGTAGAGTGCCTGGTTATTAGCAAGTACAAATGATCTTCCAGCACTGCCCAAAAAAAAAAATAGTAAATTAAAATCTGTTATTAGAATATTTCAAAATTGGACCAAGAAGTAAATCATAATATAAACATTGTTCAATAGAATGTCAAAGTCTTTATTGTTATCTTGTTTTTGTTTTCTGTTCTACAGGAAATGGAGAAGTCAGATGCCAACAACTTCTTAATCTTGTTCCGGGATTCAGGCTGCCAGTTCAGATCTTTGTATACTTACTGCCCAGAAACTGAAGAAATTAATAAACTGACTGGAATAGGCCCTAAATCTATCACTAAAAAAATGATTGAGGGACTTTACAAATACAATTCTGACAGGAAACAGTTTAGCCACATACCTGCTAAAACTTTATCTGCCAGTGTTGATGCAATTACCATTCATAGCCATTTATGGCAGACCAAAAGACCGGTCACACCCAAAAAACTCTTACCTACTAAAGCATAGGAGTCGGGAAATATTTGCTTCAGAACATTTGTGGTAAATTTGCACTTCATCTTTCCTGCCTACAGAAAATCTTTCTAATCGCCAACAAAACTTTTATTAAATAAAACTGGACCTTAACTCGGTTGTTGTGAACAACTGGAATGTAAATCACAGTATTTTAGAGTGCAGAAGATTTTCACTTAGGTGGTAAGTCCAAGTGATGAAGGAAATTTTTGATTCACAAATGGAGATTTTATGTTACCAGGTTCACCTGCTTGGTATTAGATCTTGAAGCACTGAATTCTCATGGACACAATGGGACATATGGTTGAAATATGGCTAGATTTCAAATTATGTGTTGTTTTTGTTTTTTGTTTTTTAAAACCTTTTACTGTATATGCTTGTCTTCAGATGGTTTATTTTGTTACCTTTTTCCTGGAGGTTTATCCTAAGATGCTTTTGTATTTTGTTTCATGTGGGGATCATGAACGTAGAAGTACAGATTGAGAAGTTACTTGCACCTTTCTTACGATATTAAGAGAAACACTAGTGTTACATTTTACAGCAACCCTCATGTTTTAATGGTGTTACATCATTTGCAAAAATTACTCTTAAGTATTTATAATTCTGTATTATTCACTCAAGTATTAACATTTCTCTATTAAATGAGGAGGTGTTGTAAAGAGCTGCTAGTAGGTTCGCTTTAAACCACATGAGCTTAACCAAGTATATCTTATAAGAAATTGCTGATTAAATCAGTGCTGTTTTTACACCACTTCTAGCGAACTCAGAATAATTTAGACTGTGCTTTTAACAGAAGAAAAGGAAAGCTTTCTATCTCTTTTAAAGTAAGTCACTTTATAAGCTGGCAGAGGTGAATGACACTTTGCAAGTAGTCTTTCAGTATGAGAATGTAAGACTTCCTGAAGATAATTCTCAGGGGGTCTTTACATTATATTTATAACTGATATAAAATTATATTTAGAATTTTTAAACATATACCAAGGGCTACAGTTACTTTTTAAAGTAGCTTCATATTATTTTACTTATACTACGTTTTCTTCTTTTCAATCATTTCAAGTGGAGCAGCTTAGCTTGAGGACACACTTAGAATCTCCTCTCCATGATCTTTGTTCTTTAGCAGTATATATGAGAGGGTTAGTTGGGGAAAAACTTCATTCTCAGGAAAAGACTTGAATGATTATGTGGCCCTGTTATGTTTCAGTGTTGTGACAACTGTGTAAACTAGGGGAGGGGGGAAGACTCATTGTATTATAAATGAGACATACAGTTTTTTTTCTTTCATGGGATGTAGAAATGAAAATATATACATTTCTCTGAGTTGTTTAGAGAGAGAACTCATGTCTCATGATGTATTTACTTATTTAAAAAGAGACTAGGAATGAGCTGTCCCTGAGCTGTACTTTTCTATTACTATAAGGCCTTTAGGCTTCAGTGCATCTGGGTTTTCAACATTTTCTCAAATGCTGTCAATATTTTACTGTAATTTATGTTCTTATATTTATGTATATTTGTTAAAACTGTAAAAAATTTTCACAGATTTTTTTCCCAATACCTGTGCAAAATACATGTGTAGCTCAAAACTATTTGTGACCTACTGCTTGCATGTAAGAGACCCTATGTAACTCTTATATTTTAAGTGTATACATATTGTGTATATAATATACAAACATTAAAAATGGGGAATTGCACATTTTACCTTTCAGACACCAGTTTTTATCACAACTAGAAGGAAATGATCAAACCAAATACATGCTTAAGATAAAAACTAGTTTAAAAATTCTTAACAAACCTAATTAAAATGAAGTGACTAACAGAAAAATAATTTAATAAGTATCTTACATTTGTTCTTTTCAGACAATTACGTTTCCCTTATCAAAGCAATCTTTTTGCTATCAGCTGAGTATTAAATAAAACGTTGGGTGCAAGACAGTGGGAGAACTAATTAATACTAAACAGAACTATCCTCGATTCTTAAATTTGTGTGTCCAGCAATTGAGTGTCTACAACATCTAAGGGTAGAATGTGAATATTGCCACAAGGTTCATTGCTCTCAGAATAAGATTTTCCTGTATTAATGCAAAAGGAATACAGATATATTTCTTGAGTCTGCAGATTTTTTATTATGGTGCAGCTTTTTAAAAATTATGTTTTAAAATTATATAAATGAATATATGCCATTTCATAAAGTTTGGAAATTCCTGTCAACCTTATTGAAACACAGTGTTTTCATCATTGGAGGTCAAATTACCGTGGCCATTATTCAGTTAAATTTGCCAAATTTTTGTCATGGTTACCAGTGTAGCCTGTTAAAGTCTGCTATTTAACACAACTTTGGGAAGCTTTTAATTCTCAGTTTTTCAATTTTGTTTTAGGATAACTGTTACAGTTTTTATTTGGGTCTATAAAAGCGAAGTCAGCTTTTCTGATCTGACTTGATGGACACTGTTGGGCAATGTACAGTGTATGGTGTGCTTACTGTCCACTTGAGAGCAGAGGATGCTGTGCTGTAAAATGCTGTCAGATTTGCTATTCCCTGGTACAGTGTAGTTTTCCCTTTTCATTCAAATAAAAGCATGGCACCAAATCCTTTTCTGTTTCTTGAATAAAAAGTGTGTTTTGTCTTGCTTTGTGTTTGATAAAATTATTTGGACTTAAGAGAACTCGCCATGTAGTTTTCCTGTCTTCTTAGTCTATGTTTGAATTTAATAGCTTGAATACTTATGTATAAGAAGCAATTTTAAATATTAGACATTTTTCAAATTCTAATACTAAAAAGTTTTAGTTTCTGTGCTTAGGTCAAATATCTGTATGATTCATGCATGTTTATGCCTTCTTAGATCCCCACTATCTTTTGTGAATTAGTAATTGTGCAAAATTAATACTGTGTCTTTTGAGTGGCTGGTGAACCCACTGAGGTACAATAGCCAATTCTTGACCATTCTCAAAGTTTCACTTTGATTTTGCATGTTCTGTTTATTTAGACAAGGGCAAGGAAAAAAAAATCTGATAAATCACCAAAAAATTTTTCATGTACAGTTATTTGCCTGAAGAAATAAATATCTGGTATTGCCAGGAATCAATGTGAGGGCCCTACCTTTTAGCAAGACAGTCAGGCTTCAAAATAGAGCTATACTTCCCACAGTATTTTCCAGTATTTTAATTTTCAAAAATAAAAATATTTGATACTAAAATCCAAATTTATTTGAGAAACATGCATACACCATGATGCCCTCAAGCTCACATATGTTGTAAGAGTGGTGGTTCCCTCATTTGGCTAATTGGTGTGTCTTTACTGGGGCAGAGGAAAATACAATGTAATGATCAGGAACACACATCTTTACTTGATAACCTGTCTGTACAGAGATATTAAAGAGTAAAATCTAATGAAGCAAACAGCTGCAATCCTGTGGCTTAGGAACCAAGAATTGGGAAAAACTGAAATGAGTATGAAATTCCATCATCCCTTAGAAACATAAATGCTTAAAAACTACATCTCGCACGCCTTTAATCCCAGCACTTGGAAGGCAGAGGCAGGCAGATCTCTGAGTTCAAGGCCAGCCTAGTCTATATAGTGAGTGCCAGGACAGCTGGGGCTATAGAGAGACCCTGTCTCAAAAAGACCAAAAAAAAAAAAAAAAACCCCAAAACTGTCTTCATAAATGGCAGCTTTTCTTTGAAAAGATATGAGCTATTTATGATTTTGTATAATTTGAGAATCGAGTAGTACACAGGTTGGTATGTCAGAGTTCTTAAATAGGAAAATCTAGAGTTTAGTTTCAGACATCTCCTTTTTGTACCTTTGGGCATACAGGCCTTCTAGCATCTCAGCACTCCAATGTCAGATGTTTAGGTACCAAAAGTTAGTTTTTATTTGTGTTTAGTATCACTATTAATTTCCATCCACAGGTGGCTTACATTTGTGTCATAAGAACAGAATCCAGGGGGTTGGAGAGATAGCTCCACAGTTAAGAGCACTAAATGGTCTTGTAGAGGACCCAGCTTCAGTTCCCAGAACTCACATGGCAGCTGACAACCATCCCTGTCAGATCCAGGGGATCTGACACCCTCTCCTGTCCTCAGGCATTGTGCAACACAGGTGCATTTACACACATGAAGACAATATACTCACACGTGTAAAAGTGATTTTTAAAAAAAGAAAATAGAGAAGCTGGGTGTGATGGCTCACATCTGTAATTCCAGCCTTTGCGAGGCTGGCAGAGGAGAATCATGGGCATTCAAGGCCGGCCTCAGCTACATATAGAAGTACTGACCAGTCTGAACTACATGAGATCCTGACTCAAAAATAGATTTAAATATAAAAAAGGAATAAATATAGAGGAGAAATGTCTATTTTCCGATGAAGAGGATTAAAGGAAACAGATTAGCTATATATCTTAAGACCCCTTTTGTTTTTAACAAGTTAAGCAAAGTCACTGTGCTATTAGGCTAATGTATTTATTAACTTCAGCCTATTGTTAAATCTGATTTACTTTAACTGGTATTTGAAGTGTCATGGGGCTAAAGGACAGTATATGGCATGTGGATCTTTTGTGTGTGTCTTTGTGTGCACATGCAAGCACACGCACACGTGGGCCATGGCACTTATGTAGAGGTCAGAACTATGAGGAGTCTGCTCCCTCTGTCCACTGTGGTTCCGAAGTGGAAGATGGCAAGCACTGTTCCCTGCTGAGCTAATCTTCAATGGCCCAGTATGACTTTACAGCATGTCTAGTTTACAACTTCATCCAGCTTCATTCCTGGCCCCACTTAGTTTTTGTATTTTGGTACTTGTGTGTTTATGTGAAAAATGAAATGTGGCTATCAACCCCAAAGCAGAAGCTCACATAAATACTGCTTTATAAACATCTTTTTAAAAATCTGCTTTCGTTTTACTTACCACTGCCTGTGAAGATTTGCATCTCTGTTTTGCAGATAAAGATGATGAGGCTTTAGAAAATTAATAACTATCCAAGCATGTCGATAATCCCAGCACTCAGGAGACAGAGGCAAGAGGATCTGGGCAAGTTCCAGGCCATCCAGGGGTATACCAAGACCAAAAACCCAAAGTAGTAGTAACTACTTAGGGACTCAAAGAAGTGGCAGCATGAGAAGTGAAGGCCAAACCTGGTATCAGTCCCTCTGCACTGTCCGACTGGGTGCAGTGTCCTGCTGCATTGTGAACACTGGGGGATAAAAATACATTAAAGCTTTCTAGTTAGTAATATATTCACCATTGGTGGAAGACAATTGTAGTTAAAATGGATTTTGTTCTCTTATGACTCAACCAGCATCAATAACAGCTAAAATCTGACTCATGTATTCATGCTTGAGAATCTAGATTCTAGAAAAATGCAGAAGTTGAAAAGATGATGAAAACAAACTATTGAAACAGTTATCAGATGCAAGCTTACAAAATTAAGGTCTTCTCCATCTGGATGCCGTTAGATTTTTTTAGTTGTGCACGATGTGCTTTAATAGCAATATGGACCAAAAAAAACCTCACAAAGGTAAAAACACCAAAGATAAGTCTATTCAACAAAACACTGGCAAAACAATATTCACTTGCTGAAGAATGAAGTTAGGTCAGGAGCTCTCACTTTGAACAACAACAACAAAAATCAATTTAAAAAATAGATCAAAGACCTTAAAATTAACCTGAAATTGCTAGCAGACAACACAGGGTTAAACATTTCAAGATATTGGCATAGGAAACAACTTTGTGAATAGGACAAGAAACAAACCCAGGAACTAACAAATGGGATTGCATGAAATTAAAAAGCTGCTGCACAGCAACAGGAATAATCAGCAGATGAAAAGACAACTGACAGAATGAGAGAGCCTCTAACACCTGTGTTTCAGATGGCTAATACCTAGAATATATAAAGAACTGCAAAAAATCAGACACGAAAAACATCCGCTAATCAATAAATGAGCTAACTAATTGAACAGACCGTTCTCAAGAAACACAAGTAACCAATAACTTCTTAAAAGTGTTTAGCATCCTTATTTGGGGAAGTGCATATCAAAACTAACATTCTATCTCAGGCCAGTGAGAATGGCTGTTGTCAAGAAAACTACACTGGGTGTACGGCTGCATGTCTTTAATCCCAGCACTCAGGAGGCAGAGGCAGGGGCTACAAAGGAATCATAACATGCTAGTGAGCATATGGTGTCAGAGGAGCCTTTATTCACTACTAGTGGGAATAAAGGCTATGTAGCCACTATCAAAACAGTATGGGGAGAGAGTACTTACTACTGTTGATCTAAACTGGCATAGCATCAAACTTTCTAAATGTTTACACTTATCAGACAAATGCTACTCTCAGCCTTGATCAGAGCTGTCCTTGCGGTGGATGAGGGTGAATGCAGAGACTCATGGATGCTCAAGGTTCTGAGAATAAGGGATGGTTGGGAACCCAGCCCTAAACAGGACATTTATACCACTGCCTCCTCTAAGGCTCAGTACAATCATCACAGCAGAAGGGACATAGAAAATTAAGAGCCAGAAGATAAGGAAAAGGGTTGTGAATTGCCATCTTCTGTAATAGCTGTTGGAACCATGAACTCACAGCAGCTGTGGTGGCCTGCACAAGAATGGGCTTATCCATAGTCAGGCACAGATCAGGGACGGGCTCATGGGACCCTGCTCCTTCCTGACTACCAACAAATTCTGAGAGAGAGGAGAGGAGTCATTGCCTTCACTTGTATACCAATTGGTGAGCTCACCCAGCTCCAATGAGTAGTTTCAAACCCATGGTTATACAGACCTAGTTAAACTCAGTGGGTCATAAAACTAAAAGTCATGAATGTGGAAAAAGGACTTGTAGGGAGGAAGGAAATTGATGAGGGGGGACAGTGAGAGTAATCAGAACACTTTACATACATGTATGAAGTTGTCAAAGAACAAATTAATGCAATAGGGGCTGGGAAAATGACTCAATTGGTAAAGTGCTTACTGTGTAGGCATGAGGACCTGGGTTCAGAACCTACAAAACAGACTTGATTGGCATGTGCACCTGTAATTTAGCCCTGAGGTGGCTGGCTGGCCAGTCAGCCCGATGTGTGAGTTTCAGGTTCAGTGAGAGATCTGAACTCAATAAAGTGGAAAATGGGTAAGGAACACACCTGGCATCAACCCCTGGCTTCCACACTCAATGTGCATACACAAGAACACATATACACACAAAAGGAAAAAGAACCCTAGAAACAACTACCATATGACCCAGCTATACCACTACTGGACATATACTCAAGGGACTCCAAACTCCTGCAAAGTATTACTGTTCCATCATGACATCCCCGCTGGTCAAAACCTCAGTGGTGAATTGTCAGTGTAAGCAATCAGTTCACAGGATTGGCAGTGAAGGGCTCATTCCAGCTCACCTTTCAGCACTTGCTGAAATATGAAATATCCATAGGGAATATTCATAGCACACCAAAACAGAAAATAGACATTTCAAGCTATCTCATTAAGTAGTTGTGGGGGAAAAGCCACAGTGACTTTGCTTTTTTGTTCCTTTTTTTGTTGTTCAGCTTTGGTTTTATTTTGAACTGCATGGAAGATTGGGGAGCTGAGGTGATTATGATCTCAGTGACTAGAACCACTGAAGATCTTAATTTGTCCA